CGCAGTCGGGGGAGGCGTCGACGTTGTTGCGGTACTTGCGGAAGTAGCGCTCGTAGATCTTCGCCTTGATCTCCTCGAAGAAGAGGTCGTGGTTGGCCTTGCAGCGCAGCATGGGCGCGATGACCTTGCCCTGGAGCGCCTTGCGCAGCTTGCTCGTGTAGAGGCTGTGGATCGAGAACGACCGCTCCGACACGGCCTCCGTCGCCTCGTCGGCGAAGATCTGCTGCGCCATGGCCGCGTGGACCGGCGCGCGCATGCGGAGCTTGCTGTAGAACTGGAGCGCGCTGAAGTGCTTCTCGCCGTCGAGCCCGGCCTTGAACTCGAAGCGGTCCTTCCTCTCCTTCTTGGGCGTCGACCGGAGCTCGTCGAGCCACGTCATCTCGCAGGCGTCGACGTCCATGGACGCGTCGTCGTCGCTGCTGCCGTCCAGATCGTCGAAGGCCTGGTCCAGGAGCGACTTCTCGCCTTTGCTGCGCTTCGTGCGGTTGCTCTCGACCTCGGAGAGCTTCGTCTTCTCGCCCGCCTGACGGCCGATGCGCGCGGACGTCTCGAAGTACAACGCGGAGTAGAGCTGCGTGGCCGCCTTGGAGGCGGCGTCGCCGGCGGAGCCGCCGCCGAACACGTCGGAGACCTTGACGAGCGGGTTCATGTGGAGCGCGATCATGTCGCGGTCCGTGACCATGCCCGGGGCGAAGAAGCGCTCCTTCACCTGGCTGATCATGATCGAGATCGCCTCGCGGACCGGGGCAGCAATTTTCAGCGGTGGTTGAGGTCAATAACGCTGCTTGATACGAAGGCGCTCCGCCCAACGCTGCCAGAGTGCTAACATGGAGAGCAGTCCAGCCCCGGCCCCCGCGGCCGGCCGGGCGCCGGCGAAGCCCGTCGTCCTGGAGCGGCTCCCCGAGGGCCTCGCGCGGCCGATCACGCCGAACCCGCCCCTCAAGAAGCTGCCGCCGCTGAACACGCAGAAGAAGAAGGAGCGCGAGGCCGCGGAGGTGACGCTGGCGAGCGCCGTGGGGTCGACGGATCTGGCCGTGCTCGAGGCGGCGCTCTGCAGCGCCGCGGCGGCGGGCCTGCCGAGCGAGCACCCCGCCGTCGCCATCGTCGAGCTCGTCAAGGCCGAGGTCGAGCACCGCGCGGCCGCGCGCGCGCGCGCGGCCGCGCTGCTCGCGGAGAGCTGCCACCTCCACGACTTCGTCGCCATCGGCGCGGGCCTCGACGCCGCGAAGCTCTTCGGCGTCGACGACCCGGAGGTCGTCGACCTCGCCAAGTCCGCGCGCGGCGAGCTGAGCCGGCAGATGGCGCGAAGGAACGCCGCGGAGCGCCTGCTCGCGCGGGCCCTCGAGCGCGACGACCTCGGCGCCCTCGAGGACGCCCTGCGCGACGCCGACGCGGCGGGCGTCGAGGACTCCGCCGACGCCTACGTCGCCGCGGCGGAGCGCCGCGCGGCGATGGTCGACGCGATCCGGCGCCGCGCCGCGGCCGAGGCCGCGCTCGTCGAGGCGGCGGCCGGCGCGGACTGCGCCGCCCTCGAGGCCGCGCTCGCCGAGGCGGCGCTCCGGGGCGTCGCGGGCGCCGCCGTGTCCGGCGGCGCCGCGCGGCTCGCGGAGCTCGGCGCGATCCGCGAGCGGCAGTCGGCCGCGCTCGCCGCGGTCGCGGTCGCGGCCGCGGGCGAGGACCTCGGCGCCCTCGACGCGGTCATCGACGCGGCGCTGGCGACGGGCGTCAGCGAGGAGGGCGTCGCCGGCGCGACCACCGCGCGCGCGGCGCTCGCGGAGCTCCTCGCGGCGCGCGCGTCC